CATTGGTGGGGCCAAGAGAAGCCAATAAAGGCCATAGGAGTCCGGAGGGGTGGTTTTAGGAAGTCAATTGGATTAAGTGCAAGAAATTTAAAAATGCCAGGAAAGAGCTAGCTAATATTAAAGATCAAGGTAGGTGAGTATTACAGAATCAAGATTAGGCAGCAGGAAATAAATCATGCTGAGGAACTGGACAACAAGCAGTCAGTGTCCTAGACCAAAGAGAATGGGCTGCGGGAGTTTGGGAGGAAGGCCAAGGCTCTGGGTGGCAAGCCCAGGGTGCCCCTGGAAGAAGAGGGCTTAATAATTCTCCCAACTTCCTTTTGAAACAGGCTCCTAATTTAAATCCCCCCAAGAGCAAAATGTCACAGTGGATTCCTGGTGGTTTCATCACCCCGATAGTGTGAGGAAAGAAGCAGTGGGAAGAGTCACCATCCTATTCATTATTCTGTCCCCCATGCCGCGCGCTCAATAGGTGCTCAATTAAAGTTTCTCAAGTAATAGAGCAAGTGAGTGAATGAACGAATACACCAGGGAGCTCCCGTACACCGTACAGTGTAGTCTGGGCCTAAGTTCTTCAAACTGAAGACACTTTCCATCACAGTAACCAGGTGCTACACCTAGATGCCATTTTTTTTTTCTCTTTCTCCATGAGAGGAAATAGAAGTTATTATGCAGGGTCTACAAGAGGATAGCCCTTTTGTTCCCCAAGCATGGTCCTACTTAAAGGACTAGGTGTCATCATCTAGTATGCAGCATCAGATCTACTAAGCAGAGTTCCTCTTCCCAGAGAAAGATGGAAACTTAGCTGTTGGGACATTCCAGGGCAGCCATGTGTAAAGACACCTTCTCCGAAAAACTCTGCCCAACTTCAGCACTTAGATATCAACAAATGATCAGCCTTGGTGCTGGGAATGGGGGAAGACAAAATACACCATGGAGGGTTGGACAGGGCCTCAGAAATGGCCCAGAGAGGTGGCTTCCCCAAGGTCAATGGCAATCTAGACCAGTAACCCAGTCTTTTTGCCTCTGAGCATACTTCAACTCCACATCATCCTCTTTGTTTCTTAGAAGCACTCACAAAAAATAAAGAAAAAGGCTTGATTAGTATTTTACGCCTCCATCATCAAGAGCAGCAGCAGCCAGGGAGAGGAGGTATTGGGCATGACTGCCACGGACATCTCTAATGCAGATTTTTCACCTATACTTCTACTGGAAAAAAAGCTGACAGGCAAAGTAAAGCAGGAAAAAAAGAGAACTCAGGCAGAAGCCACAGATCAGTGTGGCCATGCAAGCTTTGAAGGATTTTTGAATCCTTGTGAGTGACTGAGCACATATTCTCGTTATTTCCTAGTCATGGAGATAATTTTGCCACAACAGCTAGTCTGCACCTGTTGCCCAAGTTCATTGCTTTTCAGGTTTGCCTGATGGCTTCTTACTTTCCTTAGAAGAAAGATACTGGATTTTCTTTCAAGGTCATGGTTAAGAACAGTGATGTCAAGGCTTTGGGGATCTCATGCACAAGTCCTGGAATAACAAAGCCATCTTCAATCAATCACAGCCCCATGTTGCAGCTACGAACACACACTTGTTCTGGGAATAATTCTCCAGAAGGGACTGTCACAAGCCACAGACTCTTGAAGGCAAATGGGACCCTCGTGACCAGCTTGCTGTCAACAACAGCAGGTCTGGGTGGAGAGACAAGACTACTTTAGGACATACACAAAAAAAGGAAGGATTCAGAGATTTCCATCTTTGGGCCGGCTCATCAATGAGCCAACTCATTGAAAAAAGACTCTGATTCTGGGAAAGCTTGAAGGCAGGAAGAGAAGGGGATGACAGAGGGTGAGATGGTTGGATGGTATCATTGATTCAATGGACACGAGTTTGAGCAAACTACAGGAGATGGTAAAGGACAGGGAAGCTTGGCGTGCTGCAGTCCATAGGGTCACGAACAGTCGGACATGACTGAGTGAATAACAATCTTTGGGCTAGAAGCAGAAAGTGACTGAAACCCAATATTTTAATACTGGGTATAGAGTATTGTAACAATATTTGTGCTATAAAAGAGTTATAACACTCCAGCAAAACCATAGGCTGGACATCTAGGAGAAAATACCTACTCAGATATTATGTCAACATAACTAGAGAATAAAGATTTGCCTCCTTTATTGTCAAAGGAATATAGAATCCACCCTATGAAAGATTTTTTTTTCACTGAAATTTACATGAGTAAATTGAATACCTACTATATATATATATATATATATATATATATCCTTTGTGTTTGCTGATTTGGGGCTGGGTGGAGAAAAAGCCTGAAAGACAATTCAGCCTTCAGATTGCATTGTGTTAGAAAAAAAGGATACAATATAAGGTGCAAAAAGGGCAGCAACACAAGATAGCATGTAAACAAGTACAGAAAACAACTAATACATCGGGTGTCTTCCAGGAGAGGAACTTTCTCTTTTGATTTTGGCCTTTGCATAAATCATCTTCCCCTCCAAAACAATCTGATTCCCTTTCACAAAATTTTCCATCACTATTTGGCCTCACTCAGACTGGGAGTGGTGGTGGTGGCAGCCAGCTTCTTTACAATGTTTCTAGCTTTATCTGGCATGTAGCAAAAGTGGGATCTGGCCAGTGTCCAGTGGGTATATGGAACACAGATCCCTAACTGGGTGCTGCAGTCTAGAATGAGTGCTTACTGGGTTCCTCTACTGTGCTGTGGGTGGCCACGCCAGAGGGCTTTGAGAAAGCTGTCAGGGCAAAAACAGCATAAAGTTGACACCCTCTCTGGATGCCAACAGCCGTCAGAAAGCAGAAAGGCAATGGGGATAAAAATGCTCAGTGGTGGGCATACAGCCCAATGGACTGCAGTTTCTGAGGTAGGTGTGGTAGCGGGAGGAAAACTCAAGATGTTTCTGGTCTGTTTTCCTCACCCCTAGGACACCAGGGCAGAGATGAGATCCCAGAACTAAAGCCTGACTTCCCAAGGGCTTAAAAGGTTAAGCTGTAGAAATTTGAGAATGAAAACTCTGCTTTTCAAAGGAGTTACCAGAATGTTACAGAGAAAGTGAAAGCAAAAGTCACTCAGTCCTATCCGACTCTTTGCGACCCCATGGACTATACAGTCCATTGAATTCTCCAGGCCAGAATACTGGAGTGGGTAGCCTTTCCCTTCTTCAGGGCATCTTCCCAACTCAGGGACTGAACCCAGGTCTCCCACATTGCAAGTGGATTCTTTACCAGCTGAGCCACCAGGGAAGCCCAGGAATACTGGAGTGGGTAGCCTCTCCTTTCTCCAGCGGATGTTCCCGACTCAGGAATTGAACCGGGGTCTCCTGCATTGCAGGCAGATTCTTTACCAACTGAGGTATCAGGGAAGCTCTGTTATCGAGAAGGAAATGACAACCCACTCCAGTATTCTTGCCTGGAAAATCCCATGGACAGAAGAGCCTGTGGGCTACAGTCCAAAGGGTCATAAAGAGTTGGACACAAATGGGAGACTAAGCACGCACACTGTAATGTTAAGAGCATATCATGACTGAGGCCACACAAAAGAAATAAAACAGGATAAATAAAGGAATGCAATTTTAAGTCTGACTTCTACTAATCCAAGTAAATAAGGTCACATCTAAATAATGAAAATTATTTACATAACATCTTTGTAAAGACTGAATAAATATTAGCTATCACAGGACACTTGACCATACACTTAAGATAAATGGGTTGTCATTCACATCCTTACTAAAATGCAGAAGCTGTTCATGCATAACAAAGCTATCAAATAGTAGACATGAAATATAATCCTGCAACCATAATTTGAAAGGGCAGGACAAGCATTTCACTTTACAATTTTACCTTACTGATTCAATAGTCAAAGATCAAAAAACGAGGATGGAAGTTAAATCTGGGTTATCCACTCTTATGTGCACTAGGGAACAACAGGTCACTTAATGAATAATCTCTTGGGCGTACTTAGTCACTTCATCCTGGGTGGTAAGTGTGTCTAGAAGGGAGGTGCCCCAGGATCCGACTTCTGCCCTGGGCATCACCCCAGCCCCAGCACAGGGGTACTGTCCCCTCTCTACCTGGGTGGAGCACACTGGCCTCCCTACTCCCAGCACCTGCTTTCCTTGGAATCCAGAGAATCAACCACTGGACCCCTGACCTCCACAGAGTAGCCTCAAGCAATGATTGATGAGAGCTGTTATGTACTGTCTCAACTCCATCACTCCTACGCTGGGAAAATTCTGAAGTACAACTTCTATACTGGCTCCCATATAATGTAACTGGCTTAATGATACCCCCTTTCCTGTCTGGTTATTTCTGGGGAGGAGCCAGGGTGATGAGCTCTCCAACCGCAAAGATTATTAGCAGCCTGAAGCTGTTAAAGGAAGAAATCTCAAAAAGATAATCATGGGGAAGGAAGGGTGGGGTGTGGGTCAGGAGCACATGTTAGCTGGGAGAAGCCACCTGGAGATACTTAAGGCACCACTGGGAGGGACCCTCTTATGGGGAGGGGTTGAGAATAACAGCAAATTGAAGTAACCCTGCCTTGCTTCTCCTCTGGTCATAAAGCTACATCCTGATTCTTCTGCCTTTAAACCCACTGCTGGCTTCTCTGCCCTCAGTTATGGAACCTGTCCCATGTCTGCATCCTCCTCCACCAGCTTCTCATCCCTTCTCTCCCTCAGGTCTTGGTCCACTGGCCCTCAGCCCTGGATCCTCTCCCAGGGATCACACTGCTAAACCTGGTCCTGTGGGCAGCCACTCAGCCATCTTGGATCCCTAGTGCAATGTAATGCTTCCTATAGTCGCTTAGCAATCAAGCCCTTTTCTACAACTGCCAAGGAGTCTTTGCAGCCAAAGCTCTATCTATTTTGAATTCTGTGAAAGTTAACAATCTGCTTAAAAAGTTACAATCTGCTAAAAAAAAATAGCACTCCATCTTGACCTTCATCCTCAGTCCCCTGCCACTGCAATTATTTGTTTATTACCAGATCCTTCTTTCTGCTTAAACATCTTCTTCACAGTCTGGCAGGCTGAGCCATCCCCAAGGCACACACCACAGCGGTCCTCCGTGGCGTCGGAGTCGATCTCATAATCGCAGCCGACCATCTGCAGGGAAGAGAGGTTAAGGATGAGGGACACGGGCAGGAGATGCCACACCTGCCCTGGACCTCTGGCTCTTCTTCCCCCTTTACTCTGGACGAGATCAGGGCTGAAGGCCGGTACATGTGTTTTACACTTGTGTTACATGCAAAAATGTACACATTAGTCATTGTTCCTATATCAGGTATTGACTATGGAGTTGGTGGCCAAGATAAATACTTGGTGTCCAAGAAACAACTGGAAAGGGCCCTAAAACACTAACTCCTGTGGATTAGAACACAGAAATACTGAACACTGACTTATACACGGCAGGTGGTGGTGGTGGTTTAGGCTCTGAGTCATGTCCGACTCCTGCAAGCCCAAGGATTGTAACCTACCAGGCTCTGTCCATGGGATTCTCTAGGCAGGAATACTGGAGTGGGTTGCCATTTCCTTCTCCAGTACATGGCAGGGCTGTTCATCACAGCACTGTTTATAATAGCCAGGACATGGAAGCAACCTATATGCCCATCAGCAGACGAATGGATAAGGAAGCTGTGGTACATATACACCATGGAATATTACTCAGCCATTAAAAAGAATTCATTTGAATCAGTTCTAATGAGATGGATGAAACTGGAGCCCATTATACAGAGTGAAGTAAGCCAGAAAGATAAACACCAATACAGTATACTAACACATATATATGGAATTTAGAAAGATGGTAACGATAACCCTATATGCAAAACAGAAAAAGAGACTCAGATGTGCAGAACAGACTTTTGGACTCTGTGGGAGAAGGTGAGGGTGGGATGTTTCGAGAGATCAGCATTGAAACATGTATATTATCTATAGTGAAACAGATCACCAGCCCAGGTGGGATGCATGAGACAGGTGCTCGGGCCTGGTGCACTGGGAAGACCCAGAGGGATTGGGTAGAGAGGGAGGTGGGAGGGGGGATCGGGATGGGGAATACATGTAAATCCATGGCTGATTCATGTTAATGTTGGCAAAAACCACTACAATACTGTAAAGTAATTAGCCTCCGACTAATAAAAATAAATGGAAAAAAAGAATAAAGAATAGAAATGGAGTCTATAAAGAAACATTTCCTTTTCCTGGTGGCAACCAGAGCAATACTCAAAGCATTCACTGATGATAAAGGAAATGCTGCTTAGAGAGAAACAAGGTATACATTGAATGGGTCTGCAGTTTCCCCTGAGTGAGAAGCAGAATTAAAAACAGTTTCAAAAACAAAATAGTGAAAAACATCTTAGAATCAAGTCATTGGAGCAGCAAATCTCTTTCAGATGTGCAAACCTCACGCCCTCTCCTCTCTAACGAGATTCCCAGGGATGATGCAATGGCTATAGTCATTGTCACCTATAGTCAGTCATTCACTCCCTTTACTTTCCTGGTTTCATGCTGAGACCACTCCAGTCCCACACAGGATGAGATCTCAGACGTGCAGACCCACCTCAGACTCTTGGGAGCCTCCTATGATCCCAGCCCCTGCCACACGTCACACTCATCGTATCCCAGCCATCCTGACCTCCTTCCGGAGCTCCACGGGAGAAACGGGTTGTGTCTCCCCTGAGCCAGGACTAATCCTGCTCATGTGCCTGGACCCGATCCTTTCTCAGTGTTCTGTCCATCGGTCCTTCTCAGCCATCACCCTTCCTTCTCCACTGGTTCCTTCTCCTCTGCTTGCTGCCGGGAGCCAACACACAAGACCCTACCCATGACAAGGTCACGAGGAGAAAGCCTGACAGGCAAGGCGGATCAGGTTTTCAGGGATTCCGAAAAGCTGCCCCCGGCGCTCACCTTAAAGATGATATCTGTCTTTCTGATGCCTGCCTCAATAGACTACTCCCTAATTTCTGTGACACGGGCAGAAGGCCTTCCCCGATCTCTTCCCAAATAAGAATCAATTTAGAACTTTAATCAATAAGTTTCCCAGGTGGTGGTATTTTATGAGATTATCCAGGGTGAAAGGAGTGTTTTAATTTAAACTCCTTTGCTGGTAGTTTGTTAGCCAAATACATTTATGCCCTTGGTACTAATATGCATGACTGCTCATAATACCCTAATCATAAAACAGCATAAAGAACATGATCATATAAAGGCCCTAATAGACATAGAGCCTTTTTGGGGGGGGGTGAAGGAGTCCTATTAGAAAACATAAGAAAAATTATTCTAAAGGTGGCTATTGGGTTAACATTTGCTTGCTGTGTTTTTACTCTTAATGTGCTAAGGTTGTGTTATGGAAACCATTGTTAATATAGTTAAAGATCTAGAAAAATAAGAGCTTAGCCCTAGTGTGGTAACAATGAGATGGTTGTTAATTGTCAGCCAGGAGTGCTAGGTAAAAGCTGCCTCACCAAAGTCGCAGAGTCAATGTGGGATAAACTTCTTAGATAAACTCCACTGATAACTTCTGCAGAAGGATTAATTTTTATGTTAACAAGGTTATACTTCTACTCTGTACTGTTGCCCTATGAGACTGCTACCTTTCAGTTAAGGTCACCATAGAAACAGAAAATAGGTTTACATTCACCTGACTTGCCTAAAATGTTAATAGGCCCCAAGGCCAGAAGATAATGTACAAGACCCTCATAAACAAAGAAGTATGCAGAAAACACCCTGGTTTCGTGAAGAACAAGCTGATGTAATGTTAAACTATCTTCCCCTTAGAAATGTACTAATTTAGGGTATAAAAGCTAAGGTAAAAAAATAAAGCATTGCCAGACCCTGCCAGACTCAGCTGCACCCCCTGTCTAGTCACTCTCTCTCTCTCTTTCTCTCTCTCTGTCTCTCTCCCTCCCTCGCAGACTTGGCCCTATCAAGGCTGGTCTCACGTGTCCTCTCTCTCTCATCCTGAGGGTACCCCCTGGATCCTGCCGGGATCTTTCCCATCCAATTCCCATACTGGAAAAGGAGAGTAATTAAACTTGGGGTGTTTGGCGGCATCAGATACCAAGAATGGTGACATTTGGATGGAAAGTCATGAAACACGTGAGTGTCCGCTGAAGTCCTTTGCTGCTGGCTCTTTTCTATGGCTTATATTACTTAACCACATTTCAATGATAGAAAGAGGGAAAACCACACCTTATTCTCTTAGTGGGATTTTTCTTTTCTGTTTGGGAAGAAGAATTGTGCCCAAGTAGTTTTTTTCTCTCTCTCAAATATAAGTTCCTTTCTTATTTTAAAGCCACCTTGAATCGACTGAAAGGAATAACCATTTACGTCTTAAAATACACTTTCCCTCCACTAGCTAAATAGAGAATGAATGCCCACAGATAGAAAATAGCACCATTCCTCAGCTTAACCATCTCTGACTTTCTTTATGTTTGAAGATTGTACCACTTGACCCAACTGGGAAAAACAAAATGCTAAGAGATTTAAAAAACTCAATTATGCTAATCACGATGGAAAGGAAAGAAACAGTCTGGATATGTGCCTTCAGTGGCCATAGGTAAAATGCCAGCCCTTCACAATGATGTATTTACGTCAAGCTTGGTCATCCTCTAATAAGCTAAACTTTACACATCCTATTCCCAGTGACTTCATTTCTTCACTGATTTGGAACAAGCCAGGGAAACATACTTTGCAACATGATAAAGTGTTGTTAAAAATCTCTACCAAGAGGGGATGGATAAAAAATGTGAAGAGGGACTTCCCTCGTAGTCCAGTGATTAAGACTCCGAGTTTCCACTGTAGGGGCCATGGGTTAAATCCTTGGTTGGGGAACTAAGACCCTGCAAGCAGCATGGAGTGCCAAAAAATAGTGGAAAAATATGAAGAGAAAGGAAAGAAGTTCAGAAAAACAAACACCTCGAGTGCACCTTTCTCCTCCACCAATATCTGCCTGCATCCCTCGGGGGGCAGGGGTGGGGAAGGAAACACCCCCATCAGATGCTAACCCGGTGCTTGTGGAGACTTCACCCTCTGCTCCTCCAGCAGCTGCGCACAGCGCAGTCAACACTGAACTGAGCACAGAACCGGAGGCTTGGAAGGCGGAAGCCCGTCCTCCTGACTACACAGAACCAGTAAGGCTCTCAGGGGAAAACGAAGAGACGTGCCTCTCTTCCGTGCCCTGTGATCTGGCAACAGGGCTACAATAGATAACACTGTCTTTCTGCCTTCAGCAGATCAGAGAGGACTTTGCTGCTGCTACCAATGTAACAACGACTTCAGGAAGGCTCTCCTCCCTGTGACTCTTAGGAGGACAGACAGCCACCCCACAGGTTGCGTTTCTTTACAAAAGGAAATCACTCTAATTTCCTATCATTATTTCTTTAAAGAAAAAGACAAACAGCTTTCTTGGCGATGCGGCTGATATATAAAATACTATACATATTTAATTTTATAATTTGATGAATCTGGACTCATACGAGCACCTGTGAAACCATCGCCACAATCAAGGCAATAGACATATCCATCAGCTCCAAAAGTTTCCTTGTGTCCCTTTTGTGTGTGTGTGTGTGGTAAGAACACTTAACATGAGATCTACCCATTTCACAATTTTTAAGGGAACAATACAGTGTTGTTGACCACAGGCAATGCGTTGTATAGCAAAGCTCGAGCCACACTCATCTTGTGTAAGTGAAACTTTACTTCTTTGTTCCCTTAGCAACCACTGTTCTCTTCTCTGCCTCAGTGAGTTTGGCTATTTTAGGCTCTCCTATATGTGGAATCCTGTAGCATTTGTCCTTTTGCGATTGACCTGTTTCACTTAGCATAATTGTTCCTAGATGCATTCATATTGCCAAAATGACAGAATTCACTTCTTTTTTAAAGTTGAACAATATTCTATGATATGCATGTACCACATTTTCTTTATCCATTCATTTATTGATGAACATCTGGGTTGTTTCCATCCATATCTTGACTAGTGTGAATAATGTCACTATGAGCTTGGGAGTACAAATGTCATTTCAATATCCTCATTTTATTCTTTTGGATATATACCTAGAATTGGAATTGCTAGGTCTGCGTGCTGTGATTCATGGGGTCGCAAAGAGTCG